CAGCCGCAGCATCCAGCTGCTCCCCCTGAATGACACCATAATTGGCAGGGTTATCAGGATCATAAGCCTCCTTCCACCTTACCAGCCTCAACGACCTATTAAGCTTGTTCTGAAGAACAAACTTGTCCTTGATTTCAGTGGCGACCTTGATGCGGTTCAGAAGCCCGCCAACGACACGATACTCGGGGCGGAGGCGGAAGTGCTTGTGCTCGAATTTGTCGATTTTGGCCATCCACTTGAAGGCGTCGTCTAGGATTTCGGTGTCGGTGAAGCTCTGGAGGAGGTCCTGGTGGCGCTCGAACTTGCGCTCGAATCCGACTAGACCGACCCGGTTAATCCGAGATTCGACAAACCCGAACCCGATAAACCCGAAACATTATTACAGTCAAAAATGGGTTAAATTTTTTTTTTGGTCAGTTTGGATTGGGTTAAATATTTTTTACCCGAACCCGTCCGAACCCGACCCGTGCTCAGGCCATTGACACCCTTCAAGTTCCCAAAAATTTGCACAACTACCAATCTGTACAAATATAACTCTTTACGCAACCGCAACCTGTACAAACCCTAAACCCTTCAATAGTCCATTCGTTTCATTCACATTGTTGCAACACAGCCTAATCTTCCTCCATCCTTTTTTGACCATGACTTCCACTGCTGCCGTCGTCGGTAATACTAACTCCAACTTTCTCCTTCTACTAAATTCTTTTATGCTAACATTGTTGTATGTCGTTCAACCATGACTCATCTCTTTCTTTATCACAGCACAAACAAGACAACACATATTTCTCTTCAACCAGGAATGCCAGATTGGGAACGGCCCGTTCTGGGCTACTAAAACACCAAATTGCTACGTCACAGAAATCATCTTTTACAATTTTAAAATTAATTTTATTTATTTATTTTTTAATACTAAGATGTTTAGTAAATTGCGTCGAATACTAAGAGAGAGAGTTTTGTCATTTATAGTAATCTTATTTGGTTCAAGAAAAAATATTTATGGCCTATTAAAAATAATTTAAATACATATTTGATAAAGTAAAAAAGTAATCAAATCATAAATGAACTAAGTTTGAATATCACATTTTTAAATAATTACTGTTTTTTAACTGAATATAATTTTAAATTTGACTTGTTTAAATAAAGAAGTAGTACTTAAATAATTTTTATTTTTATAAATCAAATCTCTCTTTTTTTTTCTTTTTTTTTTTTACAATTACGTAGCTGAGTGATAAACAACCAATATTCTCTTCTTCTTTTTGTGGTGTACACTACACATGTCATTGGAGTATTTTTCATCCACTTAATAATGGTGTCCCTTCAAGAAATTGGAGTTTCGGGCCCAACTGAATTTGGGCTACAAATAATTGACCTTTTTCTGAAAAGCCTCATTATTACACAGCAAGAAAGGATGTGTTTGGGCCAGCCTTAGTCCAGCCTCAGTTAAATTTGATTCTCTTTTGGCGTTGATTGTCATGGGAATGGAATGGAATGAAATGATATCATATCATATCATGCATGTCATCAATCATCATGCCAACTCTTTGACTCAATCCTCTTTTCTGCTCCATTTTAGTGTTATTGGTATCATATCATATGCATCCATATCATTCTTCATTTTCTTTCAATTCCAAAGTTTTTCATTTGCCATTGTTTTTTTGACATTAATTAATCTCAAAAGCTAGGTAGCAATTAAACTGTGTGTGGACCAATTCAGTGTATAATCGCATTCACTTCAATTATTAGTGTCTTTCTCCACTTTTATGTCCTTTCCTGTTATGGCCTGATTGTCATCGTTCTAATAAATAACTTTATGTCTTTTTACTTTATTCTATTTTCTATCAAAGAAAGAAAGAAAGTCACTATCTTCTGTCTCCGTGCTACTACTATTTCTTTATAGCTTCCCTTCAACTCTATGTTCTACACTTAGCAACTCTTTTTGTATCTTTTCTATTTTCCTCAAAGCTGCAAACCAACCCCATTCTTTATGTCTTGGTATAAACGGTACTCAAGTTAAAAGCCCTTTTTCGATCAAAAAATTAAAATCAAAAATTTTACATCACACTTTTTTTTTCTTTTACATGTTTTTATTATTAACTGAAAATTTTCCCTCTAGATAACACGAGAGAAAGAGAGAAAATAGGGTTGGAATCTTTGTACTCAATATTCCACGCAAGAGAACAGGAAGATGAAGACAAATTGGTGTTAGATTTGGAATCTTCTAAAAGACAACCCTGGAGCTTCATCAACAACCAATGAAGTGTTATTATATATTTATTATTATTATTATTACTTATTTTGCAATTTTTGCTGGACTTCACAACCCTTGTACGAATCATTTAGAATCTGACAATAAAAAATAGGGGACGGGACCTAACATACATTGCAAAGGACAGTAAAATCTGGAAAAGGACATAAATCGCACTATCATCATCTTATCTTTTACCGTGCTATGCTTATCACTCTTTTTTTTTTTTTTAATCTTCCTATGAAGATATATAATACTCATTTTCATCTGACACTACTTTATGCACAAAGTTCAAACGTGAATGAATTAGACTGCATCATGTGATGGGAAATTGACAACTATACCTTGATTCTATAAAAAGAATGTTTTGTTCATGATTATTTTATAATTTGAGGCTGAAGATTCTGGGAGGTTAAGAAGACTTGATAAGATTGATTTGTAAACAGAAATTCACTCTCTTTAACCCAATTGCATGCATCTTATTACTAATTAATGACAAACATGAAGAACAAGTGATAGACGTTTTTCTAGTTTTGGACTAAAAAGGGCGTACAAAGAGTTATATATGAGCATGTTAATTAAGTTTCTAAAAACTTTTTTTGTTCTATCGATTTTCCTCTTGTAGTAAAAATATTTTATCCTTTGAAGTGAATATAATTAATCATGCATGTAACTTGTCAATAGCGTTGAATTTTTACGTTTTTGTACTGATGTTATCATGCTAATCGAGTCTGTCGGGTGGAACTATCATGATGAGTTTATGCAATGGGGAAGCGTGGCTTCTCTAAAATTGAAGCTGCATTTTAACTCTTTCGCTCTATCATCATCACTTTCTGACACATTCTTGAACTAGAACACCCTCTTATAAATTTAGAAAACAAGTACTTCAACTATAAAATCATTACCAATAGGTAGTTAATCCAAATTATACTGAGTTCAGACATCTTTATTTAAATAAAGTGTTGTATTCAAATTTTGTAAATCACAAAATTTAGGGGTTGGTTAAATTTCTCGACATAGATTAATAGATGATAATAAAGGTGAAACTTTACATCTATATATAACGTTTGAATGAAGGGTTTCTCACTTAACTAAATGAAAGAAAAGAACAAGGTTATAAAATTGAGAAAAGTGCATAGAAGGAGATCATAGTTGAACCACTATATCTTAATAAGAAGCCAATTATGAGTCCAATATTCAAGAAGCAATGATCATGCTAACTCAAACCTCCAATATGCAAAAGGTTTTGAGTACAGAATTAAATAAACCAACGAAGGGAAAACAAGTTACTGTTTTTGTTGACTCAAATCACATTAACTCAGATTAATGGCTCGATCTAAATGAAAATGTTAACCACGTACGGAAAGGGTCTTGGCTCGCTTTTTAACAATAGTTTAAAATTTATCCTTTTCGTTCTGGCCTTGAAGATATTCGATGACCCCACTTTCTTTTATTTTTTTCACCTAGGAATTCGACTAGGAATATCGTACTACTCGATGGGGCCATTATTTTTACCTTCAATGCTCTAATCATTTGCATTTTTCAATAGTTATTAAAAATATTATAGACTCAGAAAGGGAAAAAGAATGAAGAATGATCCCTATAAGGCTATAATAAGTAATAAGTCACCTACTTTTCCATAACAGCCACCATTAATCACTGCCCTCCTTCTCCTGCTACTGTTTCTTTTTTCTTTTCTCACTCTCTCTTCTCCTCCCGTCAACAGCTGTCATCATCATGTTTTTGTTTCTGAAAATTATGTGAAACTGCCATTTTTCAAAAAGATTTCTTTTCAGTTCCATTTTTATTTTCTCTTGCAAATTGTATATAAAATTATACAAGATAAAAACAAGAAGGAAAAAAAGTACATGACAACTAATGTGATACAAAATAAATCACATAAAAAATATTTGTAAATATTTATGTATGAATAATAATATTAACTTTTTTATATAAAGTTGCTATATTCATGTATATGTACAGATAGTATAAAAGGTTTTTATATCATATTTAAATCATGAACTGAGTATAATGCATAGTAAGTTTATTAATTTTTAGAATAACTATCTTAAAAAATTATATTAAGAAACTAAACTCCTCTTCTAAATATAATAATTTTCTTTCTAGAAAAAAGCAACCATCTTTCTCACTTTGGCAAATAATTTATTTAATATTCAAATAATGTAAAAGACTTCAGCATAGTCAGCTACATAATGATGATGTAGATGGACCATTCTTGGTTCTGTGTGAAACATGAAAAATCGATGCATGCAGAAAAAATTTACCTCTTAATCTGTTCTCACCTCAGCAACGTTCGCATCTAATACAGACTTTTTCTTTAATTTGACCTCTCGCTGCAACTCTACAACAGCTTTTCTTCTCTACAATTTAATAATGCATGCACAATTGTTTTTTTTAATTATTTTTCATTTAAACAATTTTACGGAAACTAATAAAGTAGCTGTAAATTCAGAATAGATGCTCTGATAGAAGATAATAGTGCAGCGTAAATTGTAATTAGATATTATTAGAAATTCTCTAGAACTTCAGAATATTGTGTCTATTTTAATCCTTGCATTGAAAGAGAATCAGGTGACTGTATAATGAACATTGATTGATGTTTATCTTATTTCAGCTATTGTCCATAAAGAGACAAGAACCACTATCAGATTTTCGGGTTTTTTTTATATAATTTTGTTTCGTTTTAACCGGTAGTTGTTAGAAGTAAAAAAGTGTAACAACCAAATAAAATAAAAGGAAATAAAAAAGAATGGAGTGAAAAGTATGTGTGGAATCTCCTAAAATCTTTGGCAATCTTTTTCATTCAAAGTTACTTTGAGATATTCTGCATTTGGGCTTGACAATTTGGCTTGTGTTTGAGATTGAGATGGCCTACCTCTACTAAAGCAAAGTAGGAAGAATTGACCGAGCACTTAAATGTGTCTCAAGCACAACACGCTACAACCTTCTCCACCCAAAGTACAGAGAGAGAGAGAGAAAGAGAAAAAGATCAAAAATATATAGGTAGCTAAAAAGACAACGTAAGAAGGAATAAACCAAAAACTTCCTCCAAGGAGCCCCACATCGATCAAGGCGCTTCAGTAGATTAAAAAAGGATCAACAGCCGTTGCAATAATTAGGTACAACTTGAAAAAAAAAAAAAAAAAAAAAAAGAAGAAATATAATAAGGTCTTGATCAGGTTAAAAAAAATTGTGCCAAATTAGCTCAACTTCAGATCTTAATTCAACATTGATTCTTGTTGAATCCTATCCAGCATTTGGTATACAGCTGCAGCAATCTCATCCACTGATCCCAGCTTGCAATCTTCTTCCACCTACAAGAAAATTCCAATTATGTACACTTTTTAGTACTTACAAAGACATGTATTATGTTATGTATATTCAATAACATCAACAAAAAGATTGGTAACACAAACCTTAACACTGAGAGAATAGAGGACAATTTCCCCAGTGGTGGTGACATTTAGGTGCAAGATTGTGAGGCGCATGCAATGCAAGCTAGAGACTATTTTCAAGAGCTGCTTTGGGCGTTTCTTGGATCTTATTTTGAGACTTGCATGGCTCTCTACCATTGTCACTTCTATGTCAGCAATGCCAGACTGAGCCTCACCCTTTTGCTCACTCATCGCTGCAGAATTCTCACAGCCACCACTTGCACTTGTTGAGTACTGTGGAAAGGAGAAGAACTCAGAAAAGGGCACTTCAGATTTCCCCTCTTTCTCTTTCTCAGCACCAAGAAATTGCAGCCTCTGCTCAAGCTCCTTCACAAAGTTGATAGCACCCCCAATAATAGATGCCTGATCACCCTGCATTCCTCAATGAGTTAAATTACAACACAAACAATTCAGAAGGGAAAAAAATGCAAATTATTAGCTTAAAGTTTGGACCATATGTAATTTAGCAATGATGTTTTAAAGGGTGTATTTGGATCCTAGTTTGTTTTTGGCTAATTCTATACTAATTATGGAAGGTCATTTTACTTGCATCGAAAAACATTGAAGATTGAAATACACATTTTCGAACAACATGTCTAGATTCTAGTCATACGGATGGAAAAAACATAGCAGAAAAAAAAGACTCTACTAAAAATGATCGGTCAAATTTTTTGATAAAGATTAGTTATTGACAAAATTAGTGTATATTTTATACCAATAACATGATACAAACTTGAATTGAAGATATTAAATTGCATATTTATCTTTGAAGAAAGTGAAAAGCAGAAGGATGGTATGAATAGTACTAAGATGTTTTTTGGTGGAGGAAAATGTGTAATTGAAGTACCCTTTGGACGTAAGATTCAGGCATAAGGGAGCGAAGAACAGAGAGATACTCGTTCATTTGCTTCCTTCTGTTGCGCTCTACAGCAATGTGAGTCATTCTCTGGTTCTCAATCTCTTCCTTGTTCTTTCTGCTTTTGGTTCTGCGCCTTTTGGGACGAGCAGGGGTGGAAGTTGAGCTATCCAAGTTGTTGCTGTTGTTGTTGTTGTTGTTGTGTGTGTTGCTGGTCTCAGAAGAAGGAGGATTTGAAGCAGTGATGTGGGGTAACATGTTCCATTGATCTCCATAAGGGTAATTCTCTGTTTGGTTCTCGAGAAAAGAGACACAAGCTTGGTCTTGTTGTTCAAGGTTGAAATCTCCATAGCCCCAGTTGCCTCCAACACCTTCTAACAAGTTGTAGGGGTCTTTGATTCCAAAGCCAAACGGGTCCTGTGGTTGGGAATACACTACTGCTTCTAGTGCCATAGCCAAACACATGCACAATGTTTTCAAAGATGAAAAATAATGGCAAGTTGCATGCTCTTGAAGAGTGTTTTTTGAGCTTTTAAAGGCCTTTCAGTTTGAGCTGAAGGAAGATACAAAATGCCAATGGACAGTGCTTTGCACGTGAAATGGAATGGAACCTATGTATTGGGATTTTGCGGACGCAAACAAAAGGAACTAAATAAGAGAAGAAGCGATTTGCCAAACTACACGCCATGAACAAGATTTAAGTATATAAATCTACACTGCAAACAATGTTACAAACTATATATTTACGAAGACTTTTCTTATTTTTAATTCTACTGGAAAATTCTTTTCTATAGTTAACATATATATGGTTTATAACCCAAGAAAAATTATATATTCTTCTTGATAAATTAAGATATTTTTTAGTCCCAACTTGAAAATTACTTCCTTTGTTGTATCCTTTTATCAATCAGATTTTTGGAACAATTTTACTTTTATTTATTTATTATTTTCAAATTTTAAGATAGTATTAATTGCTATGTTATGAATTATATCCTTACATATCATTTAATTTTTAATTAATTTACATAAAAAAATTAATATGTATTAATTATGAAATAAAAATGAAAGAGCATACAATTGAAAACATTAAAATTATTATATAAAAAATAGAAAATTTTATTACGTTTCTCAGTTTATGTAAAATAATTTTAAATAACTATTATAAAAAAAAATAAAAGTAATACTTTTCTAAACATCTCCTAATAAATATTTTTTCATACACACAAATAAAAATCAAAGTTGTATTCACATACTTCATAAACAAAGTTATCTATCAATTATTTCATGTTTTATCCGTAAAGAAACTGTATGTTTCTTAATTAGTTTATTCTGACAAACACAATATACATGAATAATTTGATTTTTATTTTTATAAAATAAACAAAATTTGTTTTTCATTTTTGTAAAATATTTTTTATTTTATATCTCTAAAATTTAAAATTATTTTTTTTCACTAACAATCATTTTAAGTAGATAAATTTAAGGTTAAATAATTTTTTTTAGAAATATAACATTGTATATAAAATTCTCTTACTTTTTTAATATACGAATAAATAATTATTAATAATAATAATAGTAAAGATTAAAAATAATAATTTTAAATTTTAAAAGATAAAAAATTACAGAGAACAAATTATAAATCACGTTAGTTGTTTCACCTTAATTAATTATACCGAAGTTGAATTTAAATTCTGTTGTGACAGTGGTTTTCAGTGAGGAGCAAAAAGGCACACGTGTCGTGCGATAAAAGAAAAAATACTCATGAATCATCACTATCCTACCTTATATATAAGAACATATATTAAAATCTGAGGATGAACAGGAACAATAAGGATTAGAGTTGATGACTTGAGTACAAAAACTTTAATATTATGACCATATCCTTCCTTGTATATAGGAACATATATTCAAAATTGAAGACGAATGGGAAGAATAAGGATTAGAATTAGATCACTTGAGTACAAAAACTCTGATATTATGTCAGAAACTTGTCCTCCAATTATAAGGTAAAGATAATATAAGGTTTTTTCATATAATGTTCTTGTATATATTCTTTTGACATTAAATGTAAACCCATCATTGCTAGACATCGAATCACACATACTATACATTGAAAATAGTTTCCGCATACAACAACAACCCACACATTAAGTGCATACTTCATTTTTTATTTTATTTTTTGCTCTCTTCTTTTTCTCAATGCAATTTGCACACATTGGGCACGTTATAAGTTTTCTTCCGTAAAGAACAAAAAGAGTTAATGAATTGAATTTTACATTCCAATGGGGACCAAAATGATGCTTCTTAAAACAAGTCCTTTTAGGGAGTTACACTCCATATCAAAGTAATTTTTTTATTTATAAAAATTATAAAGACCACAACTTAGAATCTTATATTTACTATCAAACTTCCAATTATAGCAACGTAATTGAAATTGTGAAAGTATTATATGGAGAGAAATTCTCTTTAACACTATTCGGGTGATACTCTTTTATTATTAGTAAAAATTATAAATTTTGATAAATTTTAGTATAGAATTTCATTAAATAAGATAAGATGCAAGACGCATAAAATTATATTTTTTATATATATAAATAGTATTAAATAGAGTGTGTTAAAGAGAATGTCTGTAACATTTTTTATGGTAGATTTTAGTGAAATCAAGATGAATGATGCAAGTATTTATAGAAATTGATTCTAAATGAAAATGATTTTGTAAATTTTTTTTACGTAAATATGTTTTTCATCTATACAAAATAAGTTTTGATTTTTATTTCTCTAAAAAAAATCTTTGTTCTTTATCTTTCTAAAATTCAAAAGTATTATTTTAGTCTCTAATATTATATAATTTTTTTTATTTATATATTTACTAAAATGTTAAGGGAATCATTTTCAAGTGATATTTATAACTGTTTATGACACTATGTCAGTATAAGACACATCTAAATTTTTTGTATAGATCTTTAAAATAAATGTTATTTATTTATTTTAAATAATTCTTAGAAACAAAAAATAATGGCTTTAAATTTTAGAGTGATGAAAATTAAATAAAAGCATTATTTTTTAGAATAAAAAATGATTACAAAATTTATAAGTTTAAAAAAAATATTATTTACTGATTTATTTTAAAGTAAAATGATTTATGTTTGAGTGTTTTATTTCAAAAGTAAAATAGTAATAAAATATTTTAGGTTGGTTTCGTACACTTTTTTCTTTCTATGTCATGTTTTTTTCCTAATCAAACCACATAAAACTGCTACTACTTTTGTATATTTTTTTTTTTTTTGTTTCTTCACAATCTCTTAAAAAATCAATTTTAAGTTTTACACTACATTTGGTGAAAATTGATGTAATAGAAAAGAAAAGAAAGATGTTTCCATCCAAAATGAGAAGAAAAACAGAGAGAAGTCAGAAAACATGCATTTATTTATATAAAGACACAATTGCCCATCACTTATCCAACTCTGAAAAATAAAATCAGTTTCGCATTTGTGAATGGCGAATATTAATGCAATCGCTTTTTGCATTCGTTTCATACTTTCAAAATATCTTTATCTTATTACTATAATAAACATATACATTATACATATATAGCTTTTTGGTTAATTTAAAATCTATTCAAAATCAGTTTGAAAATGAAAAAATAAATAAATATTTTAAAAATATAACATAATAAATTGATTGAATAATGATAATAAAAGTATCTTCAGATTATAACTATTTTTAAAATGGCGTTATTAATTAATTTAAAATTATCAAAATAGAAGTTTTGTTAATTTACACCCACTTAACAAGTTTTAACTATAATTTTTTCTAATA